AATGTAATTACATTCTATTACTCAGCTGTGAACAGTGTAAGCAAAGAAATAAAAGCATATACATTGAATTCTGATTCAACTGAAAAACCAGGAGGATGTGTGGAAGGGGAGGGTGTGAGCGTGTGAGAGGGGCTGTGTGTGGAAGAACAAGGCAGGCTCTCGCCCCACCCCCACCCCCCCGCAGCGGGAAGACAGGGGATAAGGCTCAAAATGGAGGAAACCCAACATTGGTGGACTGGTCACCAGTAAATACCACAGACAGTCAGACTACGGAAAAGGGACGACAGGGGTGGCTGGGCAGGGTACCGCTGTTCTGCATTCTGAGTTTTAAGGAACTATTTGGTTATGTAAACTGTACATTTAGGCTTTGATTTTTAAATACTCACCAAGCTCTGGTAGCGTAGTGGTTACGAATCGGGCTGCGAACCTTAAGGTCAGCGGTTCGAAACTACCAGCCGCTCCGCGGGAGAAAGATGAGGCTTTCTACTCCCGTAAAGATTTACACCCTCGGAAACCCTGTACAGGGTCGCTATGGGTCGGAACCGACTCGACGGCACTTCACAACAACAACAACAAACATGAAATTTCTGTAACTATAACAAAAGCACTCATCTGCTCCCCACTCCCGGCTCTCCAGTCAGATCCCTGCAACACCAGGGGTGCCTCTCCCTTCCCAGAGCGGGGTCTGGTCAGTCCAGGGCCAGCCAATGACCTTGAGTCTGGGCCCCCACACCCTTTCCTCCCAGTTGTTCTAGGTCCAGTTACCAGTCTGGTCCCCACTCACCCTTTCCCTACTAGTGCGGCTCCCATTTTGCAGTGCCCCCTCCTCTTATTCTGCACTGTGGGTTCTGCCCATAGCGGGGGTGGGGGGTGGGGGGTGCCAAACCAGGGAGAGGGGGACCTGCCACACCCAAGAGACCAGCTGCAGGCCCCGCTGCTGGTCCTTCCTGGTCTTACACCCTGCAGCCCCAGGCTCTTGGTGATGGGAACAGGGAGAGCAGCTACCCTGCTTCTGGAGGTGAACCGGGGAGACAGGCTGTGCTCCATCACTTTTGAGACAACTTCTTTAATTACCCGCACACTATTCACTAAGATGTCAGCGCTGCTGCTTTCATTAATAATTTGGTAAAACTCCACACGGAGCCTGTTGGGGTTGGGCTGCCCTGGGTCCCTGACCAGGTTCCCCCCTCCTTCTCCTAACATGTGGCATGTTCCAGAAGTGTGGATCCTCCTAACCCTACAGGTGAGGACAGAAGTTCTGTAACTCACTCAAACACACAGCAGCCACCGCAGAGGATGTCGGCTGGGACCCCATCAACCTTCAGGGACCCTTCCCAGGAAGCTGGGAAACTGCCTGAGAACCTGCTTGTGCAGCAAGTGACTAAGGGGCAGGGGGCAGGCCTTCCCTGGAGCCCATGCTGGCCCTTGGGTCCTGGCCTTGGAGAGCTGGGGCCCCAGAGGCTAGGAGGAGAGAGCTGTAGTTCAGTGACATGTGATCGAAGGGGTCAGGGGAGCCAGCTTAGACCCAGGCTACTGACAATTGGACCACCCAGACCTGGCCTTGGGGAACATGCGGGTCTGCTCCCAGGACTGGAAGGGGGGGCTCCATACCCTCTTCCCTGAGGCCGGGCGCTGGGAGAATGTAGGTCTGTCTGGCAGGGTGTCTGGGACGGCCTCTCTCAGGCAGGGTGGGTCCCAGGGCAGGGGAACAGGAAGGCCTATTTTGGTTCAGTCTGAATTATTAAGAGGTTCAAGGATTATTCTTAGTAAGTGCAGGCTGTGGTCTGTGGGCCAGGGCAGCTCAGCAACTCGATTTTTTTAGGATTTGCGGGAAGGACCTGAGAAGCCACTGCACTTAGGGGCTGGTGAAGTGGGGGTTGCCAGTGGCGGGTAGGGGCATTGTGCCCTGTCCCCCAGTGAGCCCCTCTGCACCAGCAGACCCAACTTGCTCCCCACCCCACTGCGCTCCAGTTCCCGCCAGTGCCTACCATCACCCCACAGATAGAGCAGGGCCTGAAGCAGGTGCAGGGCATGGGTACCTGCCTCTTGCTGCCTCCATCTTCCTACTCTGAGCCTAGACATGACGGGGTGGATGGAAGCTGTCAGTAAGTCACTTGTAAGCAGGATCGATCAAGAGAGACAGGTTTACACTGACGAGTGTGAGGAATGAACCTGGGGACATTACTACTGACCTTTTCGTTAAGTGCTATCGAGTCGGTTCCCTACAGACCTTGGTTGGTTGGTTATGTGCCGTCGAGTCAGTTCTGACTCATAGCAACCCTGTACAGCGTTTACGAGGCTGTAAATCTTCATGAGAGCAGAAAGCCTCGTCTTTCTCCCACGGAACAGCTGGTAGTTTCGAACTGCTGACCTTAAGGTTCGCAGCCCGATTCGTAAACACTACGCTACCTAGTACCAACCTTACAGACAGAAAAAGTGAATACTACGAAAAACTGTATGGCAGAAGATTTAGACAACCTAGACGAAATGGACAGATTCCTAAAAACTCATAAAGTACCAAAACTGACTCAAGAAGAAATTGACAGTCTGAATAGACCTATAACAGAAACCGAATCAGTAATAATAATAAAACAATTTCACAACATATTGCTGAAATGTTTA